GCTGGTGTCATCTCTCAAATGAATCTGGAATTTCTTACAATGATGTACTGCATTGAAATTCAGTTGCAAGACATAGGAAGTCTGTATTACAATGAAACAATTATTAAAACCAGTTCAGAACAAGATTAGTTCTGCATTGTGACAACACGAAAGCTATTCATAGGTCACTACCAAACATGGACTTTTGACAAACTGTATTTGTCAGCAAGGAAATCCCTCCTCCTCAATTCACCATCAGTATTCTTCATTTCACTCACTTGTACCCTCACTTTTTCTATTAAAGCTAAGTATTTCCAAAGTTTTTTCACTTGAGGCTTACCAAGCAATACAAAATTATTAAAGATGTATATTTAGTGATTGCAAAAGTCATACTTATTACCAAATATCACATTAACAGTTTTAACAAAAGTAAAAATTTCATCCTAATAACATACCTCATCACAGATTAGTTTTAAGAATCATAAAACATATGAAAACATTAGGAATTAAAACATCTCAGCAGCATAAAAGAACATAAACAAAAATCTTTTTAAAAATAGGAACAAAAATACCTTTTTACTTAAGCTTTTTATAATGGCAAACTTTTTCAAAAGCTTAGCTATTCAATGTAAACCTTACAGCAAAAATACCTGGACATGCTCTTGTCCATTACAAGATACTTTTGCAGTAGTAAATACATGGTGGCTTACACTCTTCCTTCAATAAATCCCATGGAGCTAAACAAAAAAAAGGCACAAAACCTCTCCAGAAGTAATGAAATTCATTATCCGTGATCAGGATAAACAAAATATGAAATTATCACACCGACAAATGCCACTTCCCACTTTACCAGCAGCACCAACTAGTACTTCCCGTTCGTTTGCTCCACTTCAAGTAGCGTATCTTCTCCTTAACCTTTGCACATGGTTTTTCTCTACATTTGAAACTATGTCTAAGCAAAAAGAGATCTATTGCTTCCCTGTACTAAGTTTACAAGAATGACACAAACTATTTTTATAAAATATCCATTTTCTCTGCCATTAGCAAAGCTGGCCTTTGGTGGAGAACTACAGTTAAACTCTCAATTGCCTTACCGTGGTATTACAAACACATCCTCTGAATTACTGTTGCTTCAAACACACACATAGGTCTGTAGCAAATCTAAGACAGCTTTACTTTAGCCCACAATGAATCTGACTACAGATTATTTGTATAAACTAGTCTACTACTGGACCCCTCTCACAGCAAACAAAACAGACATAAGCTTGTAAGGATTAACCTTTCTGCGTTTTCCCCAAAGAAAAACAGTTACAATAATCTGTTAAGCAGAGTTAGAATGTGTAGTCCAAGCAGTTACCACCCCTTAGCAATATGCAGTAACCTCCCATTTGAACTCTTAAGCTTGTCTTCTTATACTCTAACATATTAATGGATAGTTTGCATTAATCTATTTCGTGCTTTGTGTTCAGCCTACCTGCAGTGTCACTTTAAGTCCATCCTTCACAAAGTTTACTTTGCATTAAAATACAGCCACGGAGGCAGCCAGCTTATCTTGCTGAGGAAGCAAACTACTTAGCTCAAAAATGCAACTGCAAGGGCTTATGTAATTATGTCCAAATGCAATATATTATGCATTCAGTATCAATGATCCATCTCTCTCAACATCTCCTGCAAACATCATCTGGTATTATCCATTAATTTTAGTTAATCAACTATAGCCTGTAAGTCAGCATCACCATAGGAAACTAAAAAGGAGTACAAGACATCAAATTACTAAGGATGATAAAACTACTTCTAAAAGAACTTCAATAATTAACTGCAAGGATACTGTACAGCATAATGTGCATGTTCAGTGTATTTTATCCTTTTATTTAAATAATTATGAAGTCTTTTAGAAGTACATCAATACATAGGTCTTGCCCTAACAAACATACCCTTCTTTTCAAAATGTCCACGTTGCTAAAGTTTTCATCCAGACTTCCCTCATCCTTCTTGCCTGTTTGTTATCTTGAAGTCTCATGTAGTGATCCTTCCACTCTGGCTAAATACAACTACAAAGGTTCATTTTCCAACTTCTCCCCTTCTGTCTTTCATTATGCTGAAATCATACTCTACTTTTCATTTTTTCTACTACTTTTCTCTTCTGAGCTGACTAGTCTCATTCACAAGCCCCCTTTCTATCTATCATTTCATTCTGTACTGAAAAGTCAGCTCCACCTCAAATTGACCTTTTCCATTACTCACCTGTTAGGTTTTCAAACTTCTTTATTTTTTTCTCAGGTCCCCTGCAACTACTGGCAGGGCTGCCTCTAGCTCTCTGCAAGACTGTCATTATCGTCCTTTAAAAATTCTCTACATCATGATGCTGAAAAAAAAAAAATTCAGCAAGGTATGCTAATGCCAGAGCTTCCCAGGCTGACTAATCTTTTATCTCCTCTGCCTGTGCCCCTCCATCATCCACTCTGACCTTCTGCCTTATATTTAAGAGTAATTTCTTTCAAGTGGAGGCTGACTTCTGGTTCTGGGTTTGTTGATGCTCATGCTCTGGTATATGATTACAGCCCCTAAAACTCTGTTAGTGTAAGTAAAAAGTTACAGACTTAACATGTCCATAGACTACAACTGCACTTACTTTTAAGAGTAATGCAACCTTGCAGCAAAGGTGGTATCCCAGGCTGCAGTAGGACAAGTGTTGCCAGCCCATGGAGGGAAGTGATCCTTCCCCTCTACTCACCACTGGCAAGGCCACACCTGGAATACTGGGTTCACTTTTGGACTCCCCAGTAAAAAAAAGAGACATGGACATACTGGAGAGAGTCCAACAAAGGGCCATGAAGATGACTAAGGAACTGGAGCATCTCTCCTGTGAGGAGAGGCTGAGAGAGTTGGGACTGTTCAGCCTGGAGAAGAGAAGGCTCATGGGAGACCTCATCAATGTGTACAAATATCTGAAGGAAAGATGCAAAGAGGGTGGAGCCAGGCTCTTTTCAGAGGTACCCAGCAATAGGACACAATGGACACACACTGAAACACAGGAGGTTCCCTCTGAACATCGGAAACACTTTCTTTACTGTGAGGTGACTGAGCATCAGCACAGGCTGCCCAGGGAGGTTGTGGAGTTTCTCTCCTTGGAGATACACAAAAGCCGTCTGGACACAGTCCTAGCCAACCAGCTCTAGGTGGCCCTGCTTGAGTAGCAGGGTGAGACCAGATGGCCTCCAGAGGTCTCTTCCAACCTCAACTATTCTATGATTCTGCTCTCTCAGCCCTGCTAACCAAAGATACTTCTGTTATTTTCAGATTTGAGGCACCTATCTTTTACACTTAGTGACAAGCAAAGTCTTGCCATCTTTTTGACTCATAATCTATTCCCTGACTGCACCACAGAAGTCCATAGCAAACCTCCCATCTACTGCAATGGTAACACAAATAACAAATTCTTGCCCCAGTCCTGGATTTGAGGTTCCCTTATAGTAAACCATGAATAACCCAAGGGCAGCAAGGGGAAGTGTGTTACATTCTGAGTTTTGTACCCATGCAAGAAGCATAATAAGTTGTTAAATGCTTCTTCAGTCAAGGTGGACCAAACTTGTGTTACACCCTTCCACCCAGCAGTGGGAGATGGAAGGTGTACCCCACATACTAAGCTGGCATGGATTGTTTTGTCCCTACCTGGCAATCTGATTCCCCATCTGAACCTCAGACTAATTAGATGTCATACCTAATTTTGGGTTAATGCAGAAGACATCAACAACACCCAAGTGTTTGAGGTCTACAGTTGAGCAGGTAGTAGTAAGGAGGAAAGCATGCTAGTAAAGACGTTATGTTTTTATGTTGGTAATAAATCAGTCTCTTCAGAGATCAACTATTCAATGTATGAAGTCACAAACATCAGTTCTACATGTCAAGTCACACATCTCCACACAGGCAACATTTCCTAATGTAATAAAAGTAATCCCAACCTTCCCTGACTCTTTTATTACTGAGTAAGCAAATACAATCCAGAGTAAACAATCTTTATAAACACAAGCTACCAATACTCTTAGAACATACTCTTTGAAGAGAAAAACGTCCAGCAAACAAGAGGCCATACTGTCTGTTGGGATACAAAACACTCCACAGAATCTGCTTGAAAAGTATTCCTGTATATAGATTATTACCTAACACTCTGTAACACATAACAAGGATTCTACAATTAGGGATAGGGCAGACTGCATTACTGCACTGCTCTTCTCTGTTTGCTCAAGGCTGTAAGATTTCTACTAAACATTCCATCTCTAAAATCTCCATCTTCTCTGTGTGTTATTCCTGAATGACCTTGGCTCTCATTGTATGTGTGGCAATACACTTTGAAGCACATACTGCTGCATTGCACAAGACTGCCCTAAAATAAATCATGTAGGGAGAGTAATAAGGCCAGGAACACTGACTTACTCCTAACATTGCCAAAAAATTCTAAATGCAACCTATTTATCACATGACCTTCTCTCCTCAAACATATGCTGATGTCTTCTGAACAATGAGATGCTGTCACCATTTTCACTTTATAGGCACGATTTGATTCAATCCATATTGTAATCACCACTTACTGTGCTTCATAACTATTCTGTGTTAGACTTCACAAAAAAAAAAAAAAAAAGGCAGCACTAAGTGCCCTGAACTGAAAATTAATCCACTTGCCTAGAAGCCCATATGTAAAAGTGGAACCTTAATATTTTGCTGTTTTGGGGGTTTTTATGTTAGTCTAAACAGCTGAAGTTGACATGGTTTCTTTGCCCATCTCCTAGAAAAACATTTTACTAGGACATCTCATGGAATAGTGCTGAAAGCTGGTTCATACAGCATTAGTCACAGCAGAATTACTTATCATAAATAAGAGTGGAATACTTGCCCCTCATAGGCTAAAAAAACAGGTAGAAACCTGGTAGAGAAAAGTATGTGAACACAACTACAGGAAGCAGGGGAAAAACAGCGTCTTCTCTATAAAGCACCAATAGTTACAGGAAAAAAAAGGTACATACCGAATTTTCTTCCTCCTCTTCTAGTTCTCTCTGCTGTTCCTCATGTCGCTTTGCCTTTATCTCCATAGCTTCAGTGATCAGGTCCCTTAAAATTGAAACTGGCTTGGCATTCTTAATAAATGTATGCTAGAAAAAAAATAAATCATTAAATTATATAACATCATTAAAATAGTTACACTTCAGATGTAATTACAAGTGTTATTCAACACCACAGATTTCAGTGATAATGTATTTTACATTACACAATAATTAAAATCTACACTAACACAAGCTACAATATCTTTTAGCTGCCTTATAACTAAGATTTTACTTTAACTATTTTTAATAACAGCAAGCCTCGGAAAATGTAATCATATAACAACTGTTTTATAGTTAAGGATGTAATCGTCCAAAGGAAACATGCAGTAAGTAGTAAATAAATAGACTGGTGATTGTCTGACATAGAAAAACAAACTTTTTCAGATATTCAGTTACAGAATTTAATTAATCTTAACAAACTGACAGCATAAATTAGTGGCTGCAAGCAGAGCAACTATGGCTGCCTACTCAACAAACCTTTACTTTATGTATCATAAAACATTTCTTGATCTATGGATGCTGAAATGTGGAACAAGCAAAAAAAGCTACTGTTAGCAGGAAGCTTAATTTTTAATTCAAGGCCATTTAAAAATAATTTCTTCCTTTAAGACAATGTGTGTGATATCTTTTACATTCATTTTGCTGTCTAGTAAGCACCTGCTGTTAAAAAATTCTCATTTTTGCATGATTATATCTGAACACTGTTTAGGCAAAAATGTAATTCTAAGCCCCTCAGAAATGTATTATTAAGTATCAAAAAATTGTTCCACAATGAAAAGAATTGATGACTAGTGCCCTACACCTATTATTTATCTTCTCCCTTGATGTATTAATTGAATTACTCTTCTTTTTCCTCCACCATCTTTCCCCACAAACAGTACTTTCATTCCCATTCACACACACCCACTGCACCTCCAGCTCCATCACACATGCTCCAAATACCAGCTGGGAGAAAAAGGCAACACATACTTGTGCTGGACACAGCATTTGGGTTTCTGGCCAGCAAGCACATAGAAAGAGGAACACTGAAGCTTCCCCCCGCCTTACTTGCACACATTAATTAAGAGTAAGTCTCTTCTATTCAGCTGCTGATATTCAGCTAACCATACAAACTTCAAACCTTTAAAGGTCTCAAGTACTGATTCATACATTACATGAAAATACATAACTTCCAATTTTTACACTCCTTGCAGTCTATACTTTGTGGTTCTCACAGTGTGGAAAATAAAATATTCATAACGACTTATGAATTTAATGATTTATTTAGAAACTATTTTGCAAAATTTTTATGTGCTCCTTGTAGTGGAGTTCACTGGAATTTAAATTTTAAAAGAGGCTATTGCTAGCCAGAGACAGAATAAATATAGCATGAGTGTCTTACAGATGAAATTTCAGAAGATCAGATTCTTATGTAGACTGATGAATAAAGAAGATTAAGAATAATATTTACCAATAGCAGTGAAAAGCATGAAAGAACACAAAATTACCCAAACGTTTTATGAATTAGGAATCAGGAAAGCAAAAGGAGCAAAGAACCTAGCAAAAATTTTCAATTCTGTCCTGTTACCAAAGCAAGCTTATTTACAGGAAATTTTAGATTCCATTTCTATCATCATGGAAACTACTATAATTTTTCTAGAAATCTCCCCCCCACACCTTCACTACCTTTGTTCTTTGTTTTTCCTTAGTTATTTGTAGGCTTATGACAGCCCTGAAGGCAGTGGATAACACAAACATGGGGCAGATACAACTGTTAAATTTCTGCAGCTACTACAAGCTCAGGTCATTGAGCAGGCAGAAGCCTGGCACACCTTGCCCTGGCTCCATAGGTCCACAACGCCAACTGTGGCTCAGATTTAAAAGTGCCCACTTGGTATAATTCAGCCCAAGAACAAACTCGTTATACTGTCCATCTGCATCAGACCCTTCTAGGACACAGAGCAACTTGCCTGCTTCATTTGACATGACCAGAAGGAAAGATTGAGTATACTCCATGGGTGGTCCACAATGAGGGGTAACCAGGGCTCAATTCCTTTACTTAACACTTGCCTAAATCCTGAGGTCTACTGAGGGCCTCTAACCACAAAGCAAGGATCCAATTTTAAACATCAAGAACCAGCCCTAAACTATAGAAAGAGCAATTAATTTTTAGAAGCGGCAAAGGAAAAATAAAATGGGGGTAGAGATACAGGAGCTGACAGAGAAAAGACCACAACATGGAAAATAAATACGGCATGGTAATAGTTAAAATGAGATTTGCCCTTAGAAATTTTCACAACAGTTCTGGTTTGAGACTAGAGGAAAAAACTCCATAAAACTTGCATTTCCTCAGTAAGTTAAATACTGACCTGTAGCAGCTGTGTTGCTGTAGCTCTTTGTTCAGGATTTTTCACTAAGCATTTCTTCACAAAATCTGTGAATTCATCAGACCAGAGCTCTGGCTTCCGGAAGGTTGGAGGGGGATTTGTAGGAATCATAAAAATAGCCTATATAAAAATCAAACAACAATAGCAAGTTTAAACAAAACACATCAGCACAGCACTGAAGCCAAGTAAATAAACTGCTTTATCCACCTTTCTTATCAGGCTAAGAATCTGGAAGACAAATTTTAATTAAGTTAGGATTTCCACTCAGAGATTCAGGAAATCAATCCATCTGCTAAGAGTCGCTACTTCCCATTAAATTTTCTCTATTTAAACTGTACTTCATTAAGCAATAGAGAAAATGTGAGTCATGTGCTGTTTATCAGTCTCGATAGACAATTTTGTTATTTTGGAAATTCTTAGTAGTATAAATGATGGCACTGCTTGTTTAAACAGACATACATAAATTTGCTCTGAAAAACCAAGTTTACCACCTCCTCTCCTAACTGCATTTAGTTTTATACGAGAATTGCTTGGGAAATTTGGCAGGACTACTATTTCCTTTTGCATTCATAATTCTTTAGATGTAGTTTTAAAACTTGCTTTTCCTAATAAGATTTAGAAATGTATGCTAGAAGACCTAAGACAACACTAAAGATGACAAAAAACAAAATAATCAAATAACTTCTCTACTAGTAGTGAGAATTGAAATTGAAAAGGCAGCATTTTACCTATAGAACAGAAATTTCACACTGTTGAGAACCATATGCAGACAGATTTTTCAACTAGGGAAAAAGGATTCATGCTATATTAAAAAAAGTTTGTCTACTTAAGATTACATATTGCACCATTTTCTTTATAATTTTTCCCATGTTTTCCTCTGATTACAGATTTACACTTGTGGGTGAAAAAAAGTGGTACAATTCTGAGACACTACTGTAAAATAATTGGAAATTTTGAAGTTATGTATGTAACATCTCAAGTGCATTCAGTATTATTGATTAAGATTTACACGACAGCAACACAATATTCAGAGCTAGGTTTATTGACAGAAATAATAAGCTATTATTTTTTTCTAAAAGCAGGTTCAATGCAACCACATTTTCCAAAGCGAAAGGGAACAGAAGTTCTTAATTTATTTTTCTACAAGCGTAGGCAGAATTACGTACGCAAAAAAAAAGATGAAAAAATTTAAATGAGAGATTATGCACACCGTTAAAAGCACCAGAAGCTTCAGCCTCTGCCTGAAACCTGGGGAGAAGGGAAAGGAAACTTCCTGAGATTTTATCCATAACTTCTGAAGAAGTCTGACTGGCCTTGAAAGTAGGGTTACCTTGTTAAAACCCTCATTCAAAAAATTCTTCTCATATGCTGAAGAAAAGCGGAACCCATGCAAAATGATGCAAAAACCATTTACTATAACTTTAAGGAAAAATTATTCCAGTACAGAGTAGTTTCCTTTAATTCAAATACTTAAACATTTACAAAACTCATTTCTTTATCTGCCTAATACAAGAAGTACAAGAAGAGACCTGGGCATTTTGTTTAAAAAGATGTATGCTACAACAGCTTTGTATTTTCAGGCCAAACTAGAATATGAACTCAGACATGAAACATGGCACTCTATTACCCTGTAACTGGCCTTACCTGCTTCGCTTCTGATACAAGATTAATTGTCAGTATAAGTGAATTGCTTCTGGTATAAGGTAGTGACCAAATTCAGCTGTTTCTGTCCTTGGAGGTAATGATCTCTTCCGAACTTTGAACTGATGACTTTTAATCTTATCTTTAGCTACCTTTAACAGCTAGCTCTGCAGTAGCTATTGAAAACACACAGCTGTAACAGAACACTAGGAACTTCTGTTTATGTGGTGTCTAAATGTATACCTCCTATTTGATAATAAACATTAACCTGCCTCTCTGCAGGTAAGCAAAGCCTAGTTTCAGAGTTCTACTCAGTTCCAGCATTCTAGGAAAAACATTTGCCTCTGCCAATTATTTTCACCAACTACACAGCAATTCAGAACCACAGCAAAGAAGTGACTTTAGAATTCACAAAGGACAATGAGAAGAAAAAGGGAATTCATGAATCATTGTTTTATGGCAGGCAACAAAAGTCACAAAAGGAGATATTCAAGAGCTGGAGTTAGGGTCCTAAATCCACTTTTATGCTTTACATGTTTGCTGAAAATACCTCAGAAACACATAGTATATTTATTTATCTAACCTGTAGGCTTTTTTTAAATCTTGGTATGTGACATGAGCTGTGTTAGCTGGAAAAAAAAAATTAGATGCCTTTTTGTCATAAAAGAAAACATATAGAAACTACTTATTCCAAATGTTTAGTCCAACTGGTTAATTATGCCATGCACTTGCTAGCATGTACCTCTCCCCGCCCCAGCTCTCAGCACTCCCTTCCCTTAACCAGCCTGAAATGCCGGTTTTCAGTTCCATCTTCCCCCTCTATTTCCTCGGTTTGGCTTGCATATTTCTCTGCCTAAAAGTTAAAACTCCCTCTCGCTTTCAAAACACTCTATGATTTAGCTTCCAGCTACTTCTGTTTCCTTCCAAGAAGCTTGCAAAGCAATCACTGGAGAATTATAAAGCTAGTCCCAAATCTCCAGGAATAAAAACGCTTATCTGACAGGAACTTATTCCTCATTTTTGCTTCCATTTCTTGTCAAATACATCTTTTCTATCCTAAAAGAACTCTGTCCTACTTTAAAACAAAACTAAGCTCTTTCAGTCACTCTGTTCGATGGGTGCTGAGGGAAACAGGAAACCTGAGAGACTTGTTTTTTTCAGGCTGCTTTTGTCTTACCCTGTATTTCTCTACTCCCTGCGTTCTCACAAACTATTACCTGTAGTAGTTTTTTGCTTCCACTCCAGTTATGATTTTCTCTAAACGTTTCCCACAGCTATTGGTATTAGTTCAGCTCTCTCAGTAGAACTGATGGCAATGGTCATACGGCCAGCATTAGGCAACTGCTGCTTCAAAGAAAAACCAAACCAACAGCACCAGCTGGCACTGAAAATAAGCTACCATCCACCCAGTTACATGGGCTGAACTGGCAGTAACAACTGCAAGAAACATTAGGAAGAAATTGTTCAACAGAGGGGGGCAGGCTCTGACACATTACAAAGAGCTGGGGCTAATTCTTCTCTCCCACCTTTTACATCACCTTCTGCAAAAAAAATGTGAGAGAGAGACTGGCAAGTCTTAATCAAGTAACATATCAAATATACAGACAAGGTGTTGGATCATATGACTCGGTCTTCAGTTTTAAACCATTCGATCATCCTTTAAAAAAAAAAAAAAAAAGATGTCCCAAAACAAACAAAACCTCTAAGCTGCAAGACATCGGATCTCAGAGCTGAGGGACCATGGCAGCTTCATCAGTATTCGTCTTCTCCTGTCTGTAACAGAGAGCCCATTCCAAATTTGTCCTGAACTGGCCCTTCCATCTCTGAACCTTGAGCCCAACTCTACTTAAAATCATCCTTCATACACTGCTCCGAGGCAAGTCCTACACCCTGCAGTGAGACCAGAATCCAAGGCGAATTTCAGCATATTCGTGACAAAGGATGGGGGGAAAGATGCATCATCCAGGGCAGCTTTCAGTGGCCACTTCTGAATTGGGCACTAGACAATCTAACACAGTTGCTACTATAACCATTGCCTGGAAGCACCTGCCCAATAACCAGCAGTTAGAGTTAAGCTGAATACTGGATTGAGGACCAGGTCTTAAATGAGAGCAGAACTGCACAAGTCAACACATGGTTTTCTTTTTATTATTCTTAAAGGGCCTAGCATTTTAAATGAAGTCCAAGCTGAAAACATTTGTGTCGTGAAGGTTCTTTCATGGGAAGTTTTACTGGTGTGAAAACATAATCAGATGAATTAGGAAACACCAAAAGAAAAATTAGACTCTCATGCACTGCATTTGGAATTTCCTAATCAGAAAATCCTTGCAGCTCACTCTTCCCATCAATCAGGGTAATACACCTGTATTTCACCCAGCCCATGAGCATATTAGAAAATCAACAGGAATTTGGTAGAGGTACTATATCTTATGGGTTGTGGCTCCTTGAATAACTTATCTCTACTGTGTAGTTCACATAAGTGAATATCAGGAAATCAAAAGAATAACTTTTACTGTTATTATTTGCCCAATATCATGAATGCTACCGAAGGAGACAAAGATTTTTAGATTGTGGCAATTCTATAATTTTCATGCTGTGAAGCTCCACTGCTAGAATCTACTGATAGAAACTTTTTTAGAAAGAGGGTAAGGATACAAGACATTTATAGGCAGTTTGTGACTCCAAAGTTTTTGGCACCACAATTTAACTACTTTGTTTATCAATCTACTGGAGAAAATAAACTCCAAAATACAGTTAAACTCAGTAACACATTTTAGAGTACAAAATCCCTTGTAAGGCTTGGGAGGTTAAATATTGGATACTGTAATATTTTATTAGCTTTAGAAACAAAGATTCAGCTGAAAGACACGTTTTTCTCTTCTTTGTGATAGATGTCATAGAACTTCCCTCCCTTCTTGAAAGGCCCTCAAAAAGGCTATTGAAGCACCAGTAATTATTGAATTACACAGTTCAACAGCTGTCTAGAAATGAAACACCAGCATGGACAAGAAGGATGAGATGCTAGCAACTTCTACATTAGTTTTGCTTTGTTGAGTTTTTTTGGGGGGGTTGTTGTTTGGTTGGTTGTTTTTCTTAATTCAAAACTACAATATTGTTACAACGAAGTTTTTTGCAAAACCTTGTAAACAATGAAAAACAAAGCAACTGAACAACACCTCGTGTGTTTAAAGACAAGGAAGTCAGTTTATGATCTGCTTCAGGGTGGATAAATTTAATTGTTAGAAGCACCCTAAAAATCACCAGCTTCCTCCTCTTCCAATCTGCAGACACAGTAGTTCATGAAGATGTAGCGCACTCACACTTTTTGTGCAGAATTACAAACAGGTCTGGTTCCATCAGATATTTATCAGATACCTGATCCAACAAGATTACCAATATCCCCCAAGTTTGATAAAACCCCTAACTTGAATCTGAATGTGCAATTCAAACTGTTTCAAACGCTTAATTATCTTTGTGTG